TCGCCAGTACGCACTCACTGGGATTCGAACCCGGGACCTTCCGGTTGCAAGGCAAGCTCGTATACCATTCAGCCAATAATCCTTACAAACCAAACTATAGAAAGTTAATCTGATGCTCGGTAGTGACTTGCTACAGGTTGGAGTTTCCTGAGTTCTAGTGAGAAGTCGTGACCAGTGAGGTTCAATTAGATGTCATGTGTGTGGATGGATGTCTCACCAACGACAATGGTTGGGGTCGCGCTAAATCACAAATTGGTAGAAGTTAGAATTCACGAGCCATTGAATCGGGTCCCAGTGGCTGAATGGTATACGAGCTTGACTTGTAACCAGAAGGTCCCGGGTTCGAATCCCAGTGGGTGCGTACTGGCGTTGATTCCCAAACTAGGATGAAACAGCAGCTGTCCAGTACTCCCTGGTTTTCAATGGTTCTCTAACTGATATCAATCCGTGATCAACTCGTAAAACATAACTAATCCTTACAAACCATACTATACTACAGCCATTTACAAGCCAATAACTTCATTCGGATATATCAAGTAACATGTTATTTATTATAATTTTCCCAGAGGATAAGAGATTTATTTAAACACTGCATACATTTAGCAAAACTATTGCTTGCTTTTTATATGGATACTAACTTATGCCCTCAACCTCATGAGATCTGCATACTTTATGTTCTACAGTAGGTAGGACAATATAAATGACAGGAAGAAAACCACGATCATACAAGAAATGATTTGTATCTTTTAGTTTTGACGTCGAAATTAATCTCAGCAGTAGCAGTGGTTAGCTTGTAAGGGAAAATGTAAAGCAAACACTCATTGTGTTTTAAAATAAGATGAATTAAAGGCTGACTGTCAAAAACACCGCATCCATAAATATCCATAAAATTATTCCCCTTTGCAGATGACTACATGCATAGTTTATGCTTTAAATGAGCTAAATAGCATCAAAATGACGCTTTACATAAGTACTTATTTAGTCAATTAAAGTGGCAGATGGTGAAACAGTTTCTGTACCTTGTACTTCGCTCTTGTAAGACAGGTAAATTGATCCTGTGAATCTATCGTTAATCCAAAGAACCAAATATTACAGCTGCAAATGTCAACACGACGTTATGTTGGTTATACAACACGCCTTGTCCAACTATACTCGTATAACGAATTCACCAGGGGAAATTATTCACCCAACGACTAAAAACTAATGTTGACAGAGATCTCACGACTAACTGATTAATTACAAGTAATAAGACACTATTTTGATGAGTAAAGATTTATAAATAGGAACAGATAAGTAGACAGCTGTATGTAACTGAAGTATTTAGTAAACTTGTGTTTTGAAGTTCTGTGATTCTGGAGACAAACTTCGTTTTTATTCCCCTCCCGTGATTCCATATTAATTCTAAGAATTTCTCAGCTATTCATCATACACGTTCTATTTGTTTACATTTTCATCCATTGGAATATATCTCTCAAGGTTACGAGTTTTGGAGGGATTTAATTTCAGTGTAGATGTTATTATGCACCAACATCAGTAAGAGGTTATTGAATGCTATGGAGCACTGAACAGCTCTTACCTCCCAATATGAGACTCTTCACCAATGCGCTTCCATGTCACCCACCAGGGGTCAAGTTCGGGATCTTCAAGTTATGAGGTTTGGTCCACTGATCATCCACCACTTGAGAAAGAATTCAATATTGCCGGATATAACTCTACTTACAACTAATATCGCGTCGGTGGCAAGCGGTTAGGACACCCGCCGACCATGCACATGGTCCGGGGTTCGATCCCCGGCCACAGACGCAGCCCTTTACCTCTCTAAGCCAGAAATAATGCTGGTAAAGAGGAAATGTTGAGCATGAGGCTAGCAACCCCATCCTGTAAAATAAACACTGATACAGAAACTTCAAGCCACTAGCTTGAAGCCCTATGTTCCACTGGGAAACATGAAGGAAAGAAAAAAACAACTAATATCACTTATGAGCATCTACGTCACCTTAATATGGTGGCTCTCAGTGGCCACGACATACCATTATATCGTAAAATGACAAAGTTAGAAATCAGAAGTTACTGAATTCCGGCCGAAGCTGGTACGATAGTTAACCAGCTTAGTTTCCTAGCCCTGAGGTCCTGAGAGTAACATTAGGTGGAGCTATGAATGCTAGCTATGGAGGAACCGCAAACTAGGACGAAATATACTGTCCAGATATCTTTTTTTTCAGTAATCCTCTAACTGCTGTTGATTTGAAATGAAACCTACAGTGAAATATATTCCAGGGGTTGGAATCTTCACTGAAGTACCATTTAAAAAATAAAAGAATAGTTTCACCATCGTTTCCCATTGGGTTCCATTCGAGGATATTAACTGCATGTGGTGTTACTCAAAGTTCTCCTCAGCATGTTCCCAGTCTATCACCACTTCCTTTGGTATATTAAGAAGGCGATAATTGTTTGTTGGGTTCAGTGTCAGAGTTTCTTTTCCTAATCCTTTCTGACCAGCAATCTGTCTTACACTACCAAGCGAAGGAAGCAGCTATTCATGAAAGTCTGCAGCTGGCTGTTGGAAATCGTTTCGGTGACGTGAGCGCCAAATGCTTCGACCATATAAGAGCACTCACTTATCATCAGTGTTAAAATTCCGAATCTTGTTCTTCTGTACATCAGATTTCTACATACATTTCAGGTTAATGAAAGTCTGTCTTGCTTTTCCAACCTTGACTACCGTCGACATCTTTATCTGTGCAGTTGAGACGATGCTGCACAGCCAGAAGAGTGAAAGAAGCGACTTCATTTAGATTTCTCTCGTCGATGATGATTCATGCTTATTGTTGCTGGTTTGTTACAACAGCTACTAGTGATTTCATTTTCGCTCTAAAGTGTTCCAAAGTAATCGGACAGTATTCCTGATAAAAACTCTCATCGTAGGCCGTGAAAACAACTTGAGAATAGTAAATCCAACTGTTTCTTGAGTACTTTCATATAATAACTCCAATAAGTATGAACTTGAACAAACCAAGAACAACAATTGTACCAGGATAATATGAACTCATCTTTTATTATTTCCAGGATTCTTCTCAACTGGTTACAACCTGAACGTTAAAAATTATGAATTACATTAAAGATATGAACATACTTTTCCAAGATCATAAGGAGTAATTAGTAGGAATTAAAAGTAACATTAATCCGGAATGATTTAACTGATTAGGAGTTACAAACACTGACTATTTATAGAATAACTGGACAATTAGGCTTGGAAACAAAAATCAGGGTTGTATATATATATGTGTGTAGAAACAAGGTTTAGCTACAAAGAGTATAACAAAAATGTAGATTACGTAACTAAAGAAGGCATCTTATCTAATAGCCAATAGAAATAAGGAAAGAAAAGAAACATGGTAGGGTGAGTCATGTTTAGATGAGAGAGTAGAGTTTTCTAAACATGAAAAAGGTGACTCATGAAAGTTATATATTTTTTTATTATCACCGGGGCAGTGCAAGATTCACCACTGTCTCTTTCTGCATACATAGATTTGGTTTAAGTCGTTCGATGGCAATCGCTTCAGCAAAGCGTAGCAAGCTGGGTTTCTTTTGCTTGTTGATTATTTTAAACGACTTCAGGTTGTTTACAATATGACCAGTGTCCAATAGATGACGAGCAATAGCACTGTTTAATGCTTGCGGACCTTTCAGTCTCAAGTTCTTTGGTATGTGTTCATAGATGCGGACACTAACCCTTCTCTCTGTTCTTCCAATGTAACTGCTTTGGCACGTACATGTAAATTGGTAGACACAGTTGGAGGTAACATGAGGTGGGTATTTGTCCACTTTTGATTGTCTCAAACAACTAGTTGTTTGATAAACACATACAAGCTTGGCGGCTGGATATGTTCTCTTCATGGCAGCGTTCAGTCTGCATCTTATTCTTTGAGTGCAAGCGGCAGAAAGATAGGCCTTTTATCTACTGTACTGCTTCTCACTTTTTCAACATGACGTCTCCCATACTTGTCGATGAACTCTTGTGGGTAACCGTTGTCGCGTAGGTATTTCTCCACAATGGATAGCTCTTCCTCAATCTTTTCTTCTGAACACAGTTTCCTCACACGATCAAATAATGTTCTCACCAATCCCTTTTTGTAACTTATAGGGCCCAAGCTTTTGAAGTTAAGATAAACCGCCCTCCAGGTTTCTTTTCTCTGTATATATCTTATGATTTTGCCGTATTTATCTCGTTGGATACCCAAGTCCAGGAAATGGAACTTCTCTTCTTTTTCATACTCCATTGTAAATTTAATATTAGGGTGGGCGCTGTTCAAGACTTCTAATACTTGAGATGCATCATTGACAGAATTACAGACAACGAAGGTGTCATCGACATACCTGGTATAGAAGTTTGTCTGGCTGATTGAGGATTTTAACCTTGTTTGTTCTAGACTAGCCATAAAAATATCTGCCAGAATCGGACCCAGGGGGCTTCCCATGGCGACTCCGTCAATTTGGCAGTATAGAGTTTTTTTATTTTTATTTTTTTTATTTTTGATTACAGCTTGATTCCACACCGTATTTTTCGGTACAAATATGGAATTTTCGGCATGGATATCGGTAGCCCAAATTTCGCAGGCAGACCATAGATATCAGGTGTGTGTCGGCGCGTGCTCGAACCTCGGACCTTGTTCATGGTCGGCGAGAGTCCTAACCATTGTGCCACCGACGCAAAAATTGAGCCACCATGAACATAATTTCATGGCGGCTTGCAAAAATAAGAGGATGGCAGAGATAAAAAATAAATAAAATAAATTTAAAAAATTTAAAAAAATAAAAAAAGCCGTACATGTAAGGCAATCTGGATCCCTTAGGCTTTAGTTCGTTGTTGTTCTTGCTTTGTTCAAGTTTATTAATGGGAAGAATTGCATGAAGTTTTTAAAAAGTCGTCTCCAATAAGTATGCTGATTCACTATGCAACAATAATACCCTGTTTCTATTTCATTTTGTTTTCCCCCTAGATACTGATTTACAGAATAAATCACTGTTATACTGTCCACCATTTCATGATGGTGCAACATGTTGGCCACCAGTATTGGCAGGAACCACAGCGTATATGCCATGTCCATCTAGTTATGAAGGTCAAATGTACAATTCAAACGGTTAGTTCTTTATTATTACATAATATATATGCAATGTATCTAATTCAGTACACTTACTTATGCTAACTCTAATCAAGATTTGTCCGAAAAGTTTCAAGAAAAACCAAAAAAAAACAATTGGGCGCCGAGTAAAAAGTTTTATTTGCATAATATTAGAGAAGAATTAATGATATAAGGGAAAAAAAGGACAGTTGTAATGTAGGGTTAAAAAAACAGACTAATCGCCAAAAGTTCATTATTTTGTGCCTCCTAACCAGGTCCACTTGTCTATATATTGTTACGATGATTTCCAATAACGAAACAACCTACTTCAGTCAAATTATAATCTACGTCATAATTATAAATAATTACTGAAATCCAGAAATATTTAAATACATTTAAATTAAATCGAATGCTTCTATAAGCGATAAAATGCACTAAATGACTCAATGATTAAAGCTTCCTGTGTTTTTATCATTTCTAAATGCAAGTCCATCGTAATAATGGAAATAAATTCCTATTGATAATTGAAGTGAATACGAGAGAGACAGAATCAATTCAGTGACTAGCCTCAACAAATGTATACTCGAATGATTGAAAAAAAAATACAGGAACAAATGCCAAACATCTTTTTTACTCCCAAATAAATGAAGCCCTAATTTATGATTTATTTATTACATACGTAAATATTGTATGCAATCATAAGAGAATTCAAAGCAATACTTTTCGGTGATTAATTTCTTTGATAATAAGTATTTATCCCCTTGTAGCTAAATTTAGCAGAGATAAGTCTGCCCACTGATGGTACATATGGTTGGAAGCTACTGCGAAATAAGACAGTAAAACATAATTTTCCGCTTGTTGAAATTTATCGTACAAATCAACATTTCTATGGTCTTAAGAAGGATCAAATATTTCTTGCGTGTTCGTTTGAGGCGGTTTTATTGATTAGTTTCAAGTTAGATCAAGGATTGATATCAGTTAGAGAACCGCTGAAAATAAAGAGTACTGAATAGCTGTTATTCCCCTTTAGCAGTACGCATACGTCACGCTACTGAGGTTGAATGTCAGGACCTTCAGGTGACGGGGGCGATCTCTTTCAGTCATTCAGCCACTAAGATGGAATCTAAAGCCTGATCCATGAATTCTAACTTCCGCAAGTTCGTGACGTCACTGGAGTTCAGCAGGTTGTGTGTGTGGGGATAAATACTCACCGATGACATCGGATAGCAGTGACTTTCTGTATCACAAACCAGCAGAATTTAAAATTCATGTACCGGCCACTTGATCCCATCCCAGTAACTGATTGGTCGATGAGCTAGCCTTGAGACCTGAAAGTCCTGTTTTCAATCCACTTTGGGATCACTGAGTGAGAACTGCTGAAAAGCTTCGAACCAGGATGAAACAGATGTCCAGCACTTTGTGGAATTCACTTAGTCTCTTAGGAAGTTTTATCTTCCAAGTTAGATGTCAGCAGTAGACGTTGTAGTGATGCATTTCTACAAGATACTGATTCTTATTATTACTGTTATTAAAACATACATTGAGTATATTATGGACACCAGGATATGCACCACACAAAACCACATAGTTTTTATGAGGGGGCTGGAATACTGCCCAGATACCCAAATAGAAGCAGATGGTTGAATTAAGGAGCCGCCCCTTACTCAGCCTTTGGCTTGAAGTCTGATCCATAAGACAATGAGTGGAGCAGAGCCAGGTGCTACGTTCCAATGATTTGCTTTGGCCAAAACAGGTTCACAAGCCACTGGATGGATACATTTGCACTCTGGAGGCTGTATACACCATAGGTTTGGAACAGGGTTTTCTATCTTCCCTAGGTAGCCAGGCATATCAGTTATGTGGGTTCAAGCGCCAGATTTCTGCATTTCGGCGAAGAATAGGACATAAGTGGCAGATACTGTGAAAGCTTGGTCACACCAGAGGTTTCCGAGAGGAACATTGAAGTCTGCACTATCGCAGCCATACTAGGGAGTTAATGGGGATGCGAGATACTGACACACTTGAATGGATCTTAAGCACAAGGCTTTCTATTTGCCAGAGTTTATTATTTATCACCCAATTAATTACAACAGCCCACGAAAGTAAAATGACGCTCTTGCAATTCACCTCTTATTAGCTAATTTTAGCTTTTACTAAGAGGGGTGCTTTAATTACTGTTTCATTAGTCTTGAAATCAATCATTTTAGTGTTTTAGTGAATTGAAGATGATTTAGTATTTTGTCAGCGAGCAGTGATCAATCAAGTGGCATATGAAAACCAAATAACAACAACTGACAACGTTTTTGCAAGTATTCTGTAAAATTTAATATTCAGTTAAGAAAATGAATGTTTCATTTTTCCCAGAAACTTATTGGGTGATAAACAAAGTAGCTTTTTGAGAATTTAATTCTTTAATATAGTTGTCGGAGAAAAAGATATAAAATGATCCATTAGTGCAAGAACATAAGTTGGACAGACAAAAGATGAATTGATGTCTAATTTCACACAGACTCGAAGATCTGTATGCAAAATCCAACAAGTTGTCAAAAAAACCAGGCAAGACTGGAATCTAAGTGAACATAGACAGGAGTGGAGTGGTGAAAATACCCAACTAACAAAAACAAGCACCAATTACTATCAGCCACAAACATCTGAAGGTCACCAATTTCACCCATCTCGACAGGATTGTTGCAACTACAGATGGGTGGCACAGGTAAGAATATCACAGTCAGTCAAGATCGGAAAAGCAACGTGGGCACCCATTAATCTGAAACTAATAAGAAAATCTGCTACAAACGGAATTTTCAAAAAGAAATTCAAGTTAGTAAATGACTCTACATGGTTAAGAGACTTTGTAAATCGAAAGAAAAAATTTTAGCATGATGGAGACTTTCATCCACAAACGAATCTTCCCCAAGATCAGAGGGATAGTAAGAAAGAGTTAACAAAAGAAGAGCTATGTAAGAGAACAACCAAAAATCCATCAATCAGAAAAAAATGTCAAAATCTTTGGGTATAGTGAACAAACAAAATGAATACTCATTAATATCTAACGCTTCACTCTGAATTGAGAAAAAATCAATTGTTCAAATGAGGTGCGAATTACACTTTAATGGTAGTAGTGAATACACCTGAAAATATTGCAGGATTAAAAGCCACCGAAAAAACAACACGCCCAAAAAGGAGCCAAAAACGAAAACTAATATAATAAATAAGGAATAAGTTTGAAGGTCAAACACTGAATTCACCTAGATTTCTAGACGGATTTCCCAATGAAACTATGTCATTCAGTGAACTTTTGCAGACAGAGGATCAGTAAACAGCTGCTTGAGTCACTTCACAGTAAGAATGACTATAGAGCTGCCAAAGTGAAAGGAATTCTCAAACTACAGATTACTGTCAGGTATTTTGAGTCAGTAACTTTAGTCGACGAAATATGCAGCGCAAATGATAAACACAGATGATAGTAAAAGTACACGAAGTATCCAGGTTGATTGGCAACAGAACTGATCACAGAACACGCCCGAGAGACTCATAGCACATACGTTAAGTAGCTGGAATTGAAGACGTAGTAAGACTGTAAAATAAGTATTACCGTTTTGTGACTACACTTTTCATACACAACAACGATTGAAAGTACTCAGTCTTTGAAATCGTCCGTAACTCAACACAACTAAATAAAGTGTAATTTATATTTACATAGTTTACACACAATGATAAGTTTTCTTATTGGTAATATTTCGAGCAAAATTACTGCCCGTGTTCACACCACTGTTCGAATTGTTTTGTTCACATATTTATGATTTCTACTCAAATATATTGTTCATTATTACTATTTTTCCAAGTTGTTGATAGCTGTACTGAGTCACCCTTGCTACATATATCCGGTGTGACTTTAGTGAATATCGATTCTGTTATAAGAAGACTTTCTTTCCATTTGTTCATGTTAGTTTTTAGAATACACACATTGTTCCAATCGATATTGTGGTTTTTGTCCCATGCATGTGCAGCTATCGATGAATTTTTTCAAGATACTTGTAGGCTTGTGTTCCTGTTGGTTGACCTTTGGTTAGGCGTTTTTGTTCATTCACTCATATTTTCAGTGATCTGGACGTCTGCCCCACATATTTAGTCGAACAGTCAGCACAAGATATTTTGTGAATCAGATTGTTTTTATCCATCATGGGATCTTTCAGTGGATTTATTTTTTATTTTTATTTATTTTTTTTATTATTATTTTCAGATAATCTCCATCTTCTAATAATACTATCAAAATTTATATAAGGGTATAATTGTTTTAAATTTTTGAAAAAATGACTGACAAACATTTCTTACACATAAACAACCACGTCGACTCAATAAAATTCACTATGGAATTACAGAACGAAATTGGGGAACTGCCTATGTTAGGCTGCAAACTACAAAGAATGACAGATGGTGGCATAAAAACGACGATTTATAGAAAAACTACAGACTCTGGAAGATTCCTTGATTATTACTCAGCTCATCCACTCACTGTAAAACGAGGATTAATACAGGGTCCTGAAGATAGAAAGCATAGACTTACAACAACACCGGAGGACCAGTGTAAAGAAATAAACGTCCTATTCAAAATGCTACTCGAAAACAAATACCCTAAAGAATTTATAAAAGATAATATAAAAAAGAGAAAAAAGAGGGTAAAACCGGAGAATAACAAGATGGAAGAATGGAAAAAGACAGTCACAATACCATATAAAAATGGTACATCAGAGGCAATTCAAAGAAACCTCAAGAATATCCACATTCAAACAACCTTTAAACCAACGAATCTAATCAAAAATAAATCCACTGAAAGATCCCATGATGGATAAAAACAATCTGATTCACAAAATATCTTGTGCTGACTGTTCGACTAAATATGTGGGGCAGACGTCCAGATCACTGAAAATATGAGTGAATGAACAAAAACGCCTAACCGAAGGTCAACCAACAGGAACACAAGCCTACAAGTATCTTGAAAAAATTCATCGATAGCT